TGCTCCTGCTATATTCTCCCTTTAAAGAAAGATACATCTATATCAACTGTCCTAACACTAAGAGTTCTGCTTTCTAGAATCCATTTAGGTTAATATTCATGAGAAATTAATTTCTTGAAGTGGGTTTTGTCAGAGTTCAGTGTGATAAGAAAATACAAAGCTCCATTTAGAGAGAGGTCTCATGTGTGACATCTCAAAGGACTTCTATAGATGTTCCTGTATTTGTATAGTAGACTCATGAAAGGCTCAGATTTTCTTACATATGTTACTAGATGCTATCAGTCTACCAGTGAATGTATGGTTCATGTGTAAACTTTGGCTTTCAACTTGCTGTTTCCTTTGACCCTTACTTTAAATGATTTTTTGAGAACCTCCTATCTGTTAGCTCCCTGCCCTACCAAAAAAACTTGCCAAAAGAATAAAGTTTGGGATAATTAATACCTTTCTGGTGGATCCCTAGCCCTGGCATGTTTGAAGCCCTGGATTCAGTCTCTGATACCTCAAATACTTGGCGTGATTTTATCAGGAGAAGCACCTTTACATCATGCCCCTTGGAGCATTCTTAAATCACAGCATTTTTACAGTTATAACTAGGTTTTTAGAAAACAGTTGAGTTATGGCCAGTCAGTTGAAAGCATTACATAATGATACAGCATGCCTGAATCATACAGAAAAATCTCCACTTTGACTAGTTATGCGCCAAATCCCAGTGTATGTAGTGTAGTTTTTTTTTTTTTTTTTTTGTCTTTTTCCTTTTTATCGGTACCAGGGATCGAACTCACAACTGCCTGCTTGTAAGGCAGGCACTTATGCCGCTGAGCTAAATCCCCAGCCCCTGTAGTGTAGTTTAATTATTATAGTTTATCAGAAAGATGAGACACTTGACAGTTACATTAAGGAGCTAAAGTCAATACAGCAGTTGTAGATTTGCTAATGCCACTGTATTTTTCTGCTCATAGCATGGACCCATTCATATGACTAATTTAGGTACAGGCTTCTCCAGTCAGAATGAGATCGAAGGCGCAGGATCGAAGCCAGCAAGTTCCTCAGGCAAAGAGCGAGAGAGGGACAGGTAAGTCAATAGGAATAATTACATGAATACATTAAGACGTCACTTGTTTGCACTATTAGTGTGAGTAGTGATCATTGCTATGAGGTGCAGTGTTTTGAATTGAAATGACATCATTTGAATCAAGTAAGTTCTTGTTACAATTGAAGCTGCAGTGGAAATGCGCCTTTCCCTTGGTTAGAAACATTTCATCCAGCTGTAAATAATACAGTAGTCATTTGTTCAGACATTTGCCTTTACAGTGTTCATGGACTTAATTCTTTCCACAATTACGGTCACGAGATAACCAAATCAAATTTCCCCATAAGGTCAACATTGAACCTAACCATTGAATTTGATTTGCTTCTTGTTCAATTTGATTCATGACTAGAATCATGGAAAGAATTAAGTTCATGAAGCAAGATATTACTGTAATATTGTCTCCACCTTAGCTGTTTTCCTAAGAGTCGTTGGTAACAAATGTTACACAGTCAGGCATTTTTACTGCTTTAGGAACACAGAATGGTATAGGTGGAAATACTTGAATGGAAGGATAACAGGTGCTTAAAGTCTCCTTCCTTTGACTTTCATCTTCATAAGAGGGAGCTGACTTCTTCCTGCCATACTTGTTTTTGATCTGGCTTTATGTACATAGACTTTATAACAATTAAGCTTAATAGTTTGAAGAATGCAAGGGCAAAGCAAAGACAATTAATGCTAAAGTGAAAAAAAATATTTTATAAACATTGTACTTCTCTTATCTACTGGAAAAGTTAAATTTTTTAGTTTGTCTGAGAGAAGTATTTATTTATTTATTTACTTATTTATTACAGGCAGTTGATGCCTCCACCAGCCTTTCCAGTGACTGGAATGAAAACAGAGACTGATGAAAGGAATGGGTCTGGGACTTTACCTGGAAGCCATGGTGAGTCAGGTGTAGCTGGGAGACTAGGGAATAAGCCTGATTTTAATCTTTATTTTTCTAACCTGATGTTCATTCAGGTGTTTAACCTCTATAATCTGGCTAATGAGAATACTTGCGAATACTTGTGTTTTGTTTGGTTTGGTTTGGTTTGGTTTTAACGGGAACAGCATATAGCTGTATGCAGGCTTACTTTCAACTATCATGTGTCTAGAAAAGACAGTTCACTTATTCTATACATAAAACCCTAGGAAATGCTAATGATTGGTAGGTCATTTCAAAATTCTGTTGCCAGTGTTGTCCGAATACCTGAAGGTGATCTGCTACAGACTTAATCAAGATTGATTTTTCTTTGTATTGGGAGCTGAGCCACATATCCTCTTGTAGCCTGAGGCTGTTACAGAATCCCACAACTCTAAATCCAGTAGTGGTGCATGGGGTCAGTTTTGTTCTTGGCTATAGTCATAATAAAAATAAACAGAAGAAAATACATTTTTTTCTTTTCTGGACTTCTTTTCTTTTAACTCTAAAAGGTGAAATGTCAGCCCCCAGAGACTCATTTGCTAACTTTCCTTTTTGTCTTTTTCTTTTTTCTTTTTTTTTTTTTTTTGTTTTTGTTTTTTGTGTGTGTGCGTTTCTTTTTTCTTTCTGTTTTCTTACATGGTTCTGGTGGATTCACATGTGCTGATGCTGGTGCTGTTTTTCGTGTGATCTTCAACATTTTTGGGTGACCATGACCCTGTGACTTCAAAATGGTGTCCAACTAACTACTTACAATTAACATCTTTTTTTTTTTAATTAACGAATTTATGGTATTATCTTTTTTTTTTCCTTCGTGGGGAATGGGGTTGGGTTTTTTTTTTTTTTTTTTTTTTTCTGTTTTAGATTATCCTGCCAAGAAGATGAAAACTACAGAGAAGGGATTTGGCTTAGTGGCTTATGCTGCAGATTCATCTGATGAAGAGGAGGAACATGGAGGTCATAAAAATGCAAGTAGTTTTCCGCAGGGCTGGAGTTTGGGCTATCAGTACCCATCATCACAACCACGAGCTAAGCAACAGATGCCATTCTGGATGGCCCCGTAGGAAGCAGTGGAAGAGTTTTGATGTTGGAGACTTCTTAGCAATAATGCATGCATTTGATTTAACAAGACTTGGGGCCTGTCCTGGGAGCCATCATGGACCTTGCAAAAGTTAAAAATGTAGTGTCCCTTTTTCTTAAAGGGATTCTATTCTTTTTAAAAAACGTTTCTGCGGTGACATTAACTTCTGTTAAAAGTTTACTTAGGATCACAGATTTGTCTCAGAGCTTTTTAATGGTTGGTAAAATGTGCTTGTCAGATGACATATCCCAGTAGGATGATTCCCATGTACATTTGAAAGGTCCAAATGAACAGTTAGAAACCCTCACCTAAAGAAAGGTTTATTTGTATTTTACTATTGTTGGGTGAGTTTTGATACTCAACTGGTTACAAACAAGGCCTTACTATTTATTAGTGGGAAGTTAGTTTTAAAATTATCTTTTGCTTTCAGTATTTAATTTTCAGAGATCCTCATCCCTATTTCAGTTTGGATTCTTCATTTTGAAAATTGCTGTTTTACTAATTTAAAAATGCTGGATACAGATGGATCCTGAATAGGAAAATGAAATTACTTTTCATTGTGTCTTTTTATTGGGATAATGCGAAGCTGGCACCTTCAGGCACATTTGTTCAGACAGCCATTGCTCTTCTAAACTCCATGTCTCCAGCTGGGTCAGAGAAAACTACTTGAATAAAAGCTGGTCAGCTCTCATCACAGAAACACAGTGGTCTGTCTGTCATAGAACAGGTTGCAGCTAAGAGATTTGACTACATCCAGTAGGATGGTGGACTTAGTGACTGAATTGCAACTTGTTCTTTTTTCTTGGCATTACAGGTTTTGCCAAAAGAACTTTTTTGTATCAAATATTGATATGTGAAAGTGAAGGAGCTAGTCTGCTGAACCAGGAATAGTTTTAAGATTCTGAACTGTCATTTTTTGCACATTTGAATATTTTCCAGGCTGGCTTTGTACAAACTTAATCCTCTGGTTTCCTATATGTTGTAAATAATTAGACCATAATTTCAATATAAATAAATGTATAAATACTCTGTTTTCTGTGTTCTTTCTTTTCCTCATAACCCATCTTTACACTGAAGCAGCTGGTTCATTGATGAAGCATGCGGTATAATCCCTGCACACTGGAAGCTAGGACAGGAGGATTGCAGTCATTTCAGTGCTATTATAGACACCAACTACATAGCAGCAACTTGTCTTTAAAAAAAATTTTTTTTTACTCCCCACATAATGCAATTGCAGCCCCCCATAATGTATATAGAAGTATAAGAGTTTATAACTACAAAAGGGTATGTGCATAAAGTCCAGATGAAAAAATTCTAATGAATATTCTAGATACATTTCATTTCATACCATTGCCCTCCTTTATTCCCAGAGGTCTAAGGGGACTGAATAAAACACGTTTTAAGGGGAAAAGGTTGTTGAAAAGCAATAGGCACAAGCTGCATTTGAAAGTGTTCCAGTGTTAAGCTCCTTCCAGTACTGTGTACTGCCTAGACATGTAGTTAGTACTGTCTTTAATTCAAGGGAACTAGGAATTCTGATCTGCCAGAGTAATGCATCATACAAACCAATTTTTTTTTTTTTTTTGGTGCATTTAGAATACCTATAAAGTACTTAGGATAATCGTTATTATCTAGTCTTAAGACACAATCTTTGTTTCAGGAGCCAAGTCGGTGACTTACTGGTGAATGTTCCCTCTATGCTGAGCCAGTCTTGTTTTGACCTCAGCCTGTGTTTGGGAGAGGATTTGAAAGGGTGGGAGGTTGTGCCTTTAGCCATTTCCTCTATTTTTGCAGAGCTTGAGTAAAGTGCTTTAGCCTCTGGGGGTCCACGTGTTATTTTTCCTTACCTCTATCTACTTTCTGTTCCTTTTCACACCCAAGTTTCGGTAACCAAGTCTCGGGGCCCCAAAAGGGGATGTCCCGCCCCCGGGGGCGGGGCGGGCGTCAGGGTGGCCTGGCCCCTCCCGATGGGACGCGGCCGTGGCGCCATCTTTCCCAGCTCTGCGGAAGAGTGATCACTGGTCAGTGTAAGGCCTTGGCACGGTGGAGCGCCGAGAGGCCCCGCGGGTATGGCTGGCCGACCGCACTTTTCCCGGGCAGTGGGGCAGGGCGGGGCATATGCGACCCGGGTACTGGCCTGCAGGAAGGGGCTCTTGGGAAAGGAGGGGCGGGGCGTGGCGCTGAGGCAATGGCTCTGGGACCCCAGGATCCCGGCGCCTGGCCTTGGGGGTCGCGTGTTTTCAGCGGCCACATGGCGACCTTGGCTCTTCCCTGGGCCCGTTCTGAAAAGCTCTAGATTTTTTGTCGCTTTTCATATGTATTATGTTGGAAACCCTATGACAGGACCAAGGACGAGGCTGTGGGGCTTTTTAGGGTTTGTCGCCCAGTGAGCAACAGGCGTAGGCCAGGCTCTGGAGGCAGACATGCGAGCACTGCCGTCCCCTTGCTGTCCTGTGCTGCCCTAAATATGCTGTGCTTTGCTTCCAGGTGGCCTTTCTTCGGAGTGGCCCAGGGTCCCCAAAAGCACAATGGACTCTGGAGCTCGCCCTGGGGGTGGCAGCTGTAGCAGCCCTGCCGGGCTGTCCCGGGAATACAAGCTGGTGATGCTGGGTGCCGGCGGCGTGGGCAAGAGTGGTAGGTGACACTTGGCATTTGACAAAACATAAAACAAATGACCTCTACAGAATCCAGATGGGATACTGGGGAGTGTGCCATGGCGATACTTGACCTTTTGTGTGTCACCTGAAGGAGGGTTTTAACTTTCATTTCTTGTTTTGAAGCTATGACCATGCAGTTCATCAGCCATCGGTTTCCAGAAGACCATGATCCCACTATTGGTAAGTCAGCGAAGGCTCTGATTCCCAAACTTGATAGGAAGCTATCCGGTTGAATATTAGTTTTATTTTATTTTTATATATTTTTTGGTACCGGGGATGAACTCAAGACTTTGCACTTAGCAGAAAATTGCTTGAGCTACTATGCTAAATCCCCGGACCTTCAATGCCAGTTTTAAAATGCTATTTCTGAATGTATTTTGAGCCCGCCTCCTTGCTATCTCATTCAGATTTATTTAGATTTATCATAGAAGTTGTTAAGCAATTATTTCCTTTTTTCTGTATTTAGCTCTGTATGTAAGTCACCTTTATCCCTGTCATGAGCTGAGCATTAATAGGATAACTTTCTTTGCACAGTTTGGTTTCTATACTGTATTGTTACACCAAAAGGAAACTTACAAACTGAAGTCTTTTTGCTGTCACTTCTCTAAGGGTCTGACTTGAGACTGACTCTTTAAGTATGAGTCAGCTGGTTTGAACTTCCACAAAAGGAAGTAGAAAAACAAGTAGAGCCAGCCTCCTGAACTCTTAAAGCTGGCTTACCCGACCTGGATGTCTTCCGCCTGAACCCTTCACTTATTTCCTTATACCTGAAGTTCACGGTACTGTGATGTCTTTTCTCATGTCTCTAACTCTCTGTTGTCACAGTACAGTAGAGTTAAAAAGTCATTTTGTCTGCTTTACCTTTTCATTTTCTTAATCACTATTCTTTACAACCACTAAAAACATTGATGTCATTCCTAAACCAATAGGAAGCAGGTTGTATTCTGAGGGTCCCATTCTTCTATAACAGCAGCGGGTGGGGGGGGCATACAAAGTCTGCTGTCCTAGTGTTGTTTCATATGTGGCGCTGTACCATGATGCCAGGGCCCTGGGAGTGATTTCCACGGGGCTGGGCTGCTGCTGTTCTGCAAAACCAGTGAGTGTTTGTGGTAGCCCAATGTTGGATGTAGTTATTTTACACAGTAGGTCGTTCTGTGGATTTGGGGGAAATAGAAACAGTTATGGGTTTTTTTTCATGTACTATATCAGATTTGGGGAAGAGAATTGCTGAGGATCCAACCCAAGGCTTTATGTGTGCTAACTACACAGTCTGCCACTGAGTGACACCCAAACCCAGGTATATCAAATTTAAGAACATTGTCCTAGGGGGCTGGGGATTTAGCTCAGCGGCATAAGCGCCTGCCTTGGCAAGCAGGCAGTCGTGAGTTGGATCCCTGGTACCGATAAAAAACAAAAAAGACCAAAAAAACCAAAAACAAAACAAAACAAAAAAACCAAGAACATTGTCCTATAGGTGAGAGTTTCAGGAATAAAATCAATTAGAGACATGAGGATGTAGACCCCTTTAGAGTGTATACATAGCATGTGTGATGCCCTGGGTTCCATTTCCAGCATTGCCTCCAAAAAAGAAAAAAGAAAAAAACAGTTTAGAGGTTTGGATAATTTACTTAGAAATTCTAGAAATGTGCTGGAGATATAGCTCAGAGGCACAAGAGTTTGATTCCCCATACCAAAACGAACAAACAAAAATTCCAGAAACAACTCCTATCTTCAAAATAAAACTCATATTTATTCCATGTAATAGGCATTTTTTAGTTTTTTCTTTTTTTTATTTAATTTGGTACTTTTTATTTTCCTGTTTCCCTTTCTTTTTTGTGCTGGGACCAAGCCCAAGACCTTGTACACCGTAAGCAGTCACTCTGCCACTGTGATACACCCCAGCATGAGGTAGTTTGTTTTTGTTTTTTTAGACAGGGTCTTGTTCTATGTAGTAGCCCAGGCTGTATTTTAACTCACAGAGATGCACCTGCCTCAGCCTCCTGGCTGCTGGAATTACAAGTATGTGCCACCATGCCCAGCTTTGTGAGGTAATTTTAAAAACTTCCCATTCTCCCCAGTGTTGTCACCTGTTCTCCTGACAGTATTCTCAGATTCAACAGTAAATTCTGTGTCTCTTAATTGCTATTATGTGCCAGCCACTGTGGTGGGACCTTGAGGGGTGACTACTATGATTCAGTTGACAGTTTAGTGTATTTTGTTTTAAACTTTGGTTAAAAACTCTAAGAATAAAAATTTACATCATAGCCAGTACAGTTGTAAGTATGAAACTGTGTTGTCTCTGAGTACTTCTTTATTAGCACATGTCTGTATCTAAAATTAAAATATGAAGCCAGGCATGGTGGTGCACACCTGTGATCCCAGTACTTGGGAGGCTGAGGCAGGATTGTTGCAAGTTTGAGACCAGCTTGGGCTACAAAGTGAGCTCAAGGCCAGCCTGGACTGCAAGGTAAGACCCTGTCTCAAAAGACGAAAAGACCAAAAAGAAAGAAAAGAAAGAAAGAAAGTAAAATACGAATCTGTGTTTCCCTTACTACTTAGGTGCTCACTCATATTTTCTGTTTTATTTAGGATTTTGCTTGTGTATTTGAATGTTGGTTTCAGCCCATTTGGTTGATTTTACTATTCACTAATCCCAATAGATTCTTGCTTATTGTTTAAGAAACATTGATTTAGCTGGGTATAGTGCCACAGGCCAGCAGTCCTAGCACTCTGGGAGGTTGAGGCAGGAGATTGCAAATGCACAGCCTGGGTAGTGATATAGTGAGACCCTATTTCGAAATAAAAACTTGTTTTCCCTAAAAAAGGGCTGGGATTATAATTCATTATAAAGGCCTTGATTTCAATTTCCAGTGCTGGAAAAAAAAGGAGAAGAAATGAAAAGGAGAAAAATATTGTTTTAATGGGCAGTGGGCTCCTCATCTTTGAAGAGGAGTTAGAAGCAAAGATTTATAAGAATTGTTAAATGGAAGTTCATTAGGATGTAAGTGACAGTTGCTATGTTGTTGTTTTTTGTATTTTTGGTACCAGGAATCGAGCTCTAGGACCTTGTACTTGGCAGTCAGGCCCTTGTGCCACTGAGCTATATCACTGGGCCTGTGGCAGTTACTTTTGAGTGATAAAAGTATTGAATTTCCTTTCTTTTTTACTTTTCTGTGTTTTACAGAATTTAATGGGCTTTTCATCTTGGAAAAGGAGTTAGAAGGAAAGATGTATAAGAATTGTTAAAAGGAAGTTCATTAGGATATAAGTAGCAGTTGCTTTTGAGTGATAAAATTTTTTTTTTTTTTTTTACATTTCTGTATCTTACAGGTTTACTGTAATAATATGTATAAAAGAAGCCAGGTATGGTAGCACATACTATAATTCTAGCTAATGGAGAACCTCAGGCAGGAGACTCTTTTGAGCCCAGGTTCTGGCTGAGGAACACAGCAAAACCCTGTCTCTCTTAAAATAATAATATATGCAAAAGAGAAATTTGCTTTCATAAAGGAGGAATTATGACAAGGATTCTTTAGAAAATATAAATTATAGTTTTTCCTTTTTCTGTAATACTAAAATGAAGAACTACAGGATATAATTAAGTACATAGACTTTTGAGTGAAGCAACCCTGAGTTATATTTTATCTCTGTTACTAATTAACTGTAATTTCTTTTTGTACCAGGAATTGAACTCAGGACCTTGCACTTGCCAGGCAAGTGCTGTGCTGCTGAGCTATATCTCCAGTCCAGTTAACTATAATTTGAAGGGGTTTTTTTTGTTTGTTTGTGTTTTTTGAGACAGGTCTTGTTATATAGTTCAGACTGGTTTTAACACTCACTATGTAACTGAGGCTGATCTTAAACAAACTCATATAAATCCTTCTGCATCAGCATCCAAGTGCTGGGATTACAGGTACAAACTACCACCACTAATCTCAGAAACCTTTTGTGGCATAGAATTATAGTTAAGTCTTACAAACTTAAACTATTTAAGCTATGAATAAACTGTACTACCACCTACATAAAAAGAAAAAAGCCTGAGTTGAACACCCAGCTTACATCTCTCGATGGATTTATCATGCTTCCTGAGGAAATTTGGGTATTTAAAGAAATTGGGTAGAATCAACTTCTTCATAAGGTGATTCTTTATTGGGGAGGTATGATACTAGAGATTGAACCCAAGGGATTATCTATTTATTGAGGAGTAGGTTTGAGACAGAGTCCCCCTAAGTTGCCCATCCTGGGTACAAATTTGTGATCCTTCTAAAATAGGTATTTCTTCCTTTGTGTATGAGTTAATAATACGGCTTTTTTTTCTCCTGTAGAAGATGCTTATAAAATCCGGATCCGTATTGATGATGAACCTGCCAATCTGGATATTTTGGATACAGCTGGACAGGTATTAAATCCCAGAATGTTATGAGTTAAAATATTTTTCCTCTGTTAAAGGAGCATGGAAAGCTTGCACAGAGATCACTAGTTTATCTCTTTAATTTTCCATGCACACTGACTCAGGATAGCAGGTAACCAGCATATCTCTTCAATCTGAAGTGAATAGCTAATCTGTGTGGTTCTAGGCTGCCTCCATACATTACTGACTGACTCTTGTATCCCTCTAGGCAGAATTTACAGCCATGCGGGATCAGTACATGAGGGCAGGAGAAGGATTTATTATCTGTTACTCTATCACGGATCGCCGAAGTTTCCATGAAGTTCGAGAGTTTAAACAGCTTATTTATCGAGTTCGACGTACTGATGATACACCTGTGGTTCTTGTGGGAAACAAGTCTGACTTGAAACAGCTAAGACAGGTGAAAAAGAAAAGAAACACTGTAATCTTGTGGAATGAATGATTTTTGTTTCTTGATTTAAAGATTCCTTTGCTTTATAATAGAAAAATCAACATTAGCTTCTCTCTAACCTTGAAAATTTTCATATATCTACTGATTTGCTATTATTAAAGATGAAATCTGAATTTTTTTTTTTTTTAACTTTTTATCGGTACCGGGGATCGAATTCACGACTGCCTGCTTGCAAGGCAGGTGCTTAGGCCGCTGAGCTAAATCCCTAGCCCCTGAAATCTGAATTTTAGGAATCAGTTTACAAGTCATAATACACTAGATTATAACCAAATGACAAATAGAATACTCATTAAGCAATGAGTCATGGAATGTTCCTTTCCTGAGACTTCAGAAATAAAAATGTTTACATTTACATTGCAGGAGGATAAACTTCTATCAGATTTCACCTTCAGTACCCTCCTGTGGTGAGGGTTATGAACTCAGAAAAAGGACACTATAGAATAAGTGATTCTCTTAAATTAGCAATGACTTAAAATCTTTTGTTTGAGCTGGTGGAGTGGTGGTACATGCTTGTAATCTGAGCTTTTTGAAAGGCTGAGGCAGGAGGATTACAAGATCAAGGCTAGCCTGGGCAACTTGGCAGAAACTTGACTCAAAAGTCAAAAGGATTGGGGATGTAACTCAGCAGTATAACACTTGCCTAGCATGCACAAGATCCTGATTCAATTAGCATTACTGCAAACAAAACAAAAACTTGTGCTGTCTGGTGCGGAGATAAGGGTGTAGGGAAATATATACATCTATGACTAATAGTAAAAGCAATGAGTAGTACAAACCTTGGCAGTAAATTCATAATATTTCTTAGTTAAACCATTGGAAGACTAAATTTATATATAAAATGTTTATTGCCAGACTATGGTAATAGAAAATGAGAGCTAGTCTAACCATCCAGAAGCAAAAGAAATTGCTAGGCACAAGGCTGAGGTAGGAGGATCATGACTTCAAGGTCAGTGTGGATTACATAGCAATTTTAGGACTGGTCTTGACTACCTAGAGAGACCTTGTCTCAAAAAAGCAAATAAAAATATAGGCAATAGGGGCTAGAGATTTAGCTCAGTAGTATAAGCGCCTGCCTGACAAGCACGAAGTTGTGAGTTCAATCCCCGGAACCAAAAAAAAAAAAAAAGTATATATACCTTTTTTATATATCTGTAATTGGCTACATCAATTTTGGGTTTCTAAAGTTTTCAGTATTGTAGTTTAAGTATATAGCTCCTTTGCCTGTGCTTGCTTACCTACTTTTTTGTTGTTGTTGTTTTGAGACAGAGGCTCACTATGGAGTTTAGATTGGTCTTGAACTTAACTGTGTAGACCAGGCAGGACTCAAACTCAAGGCGATCCTTCTGCCTCAGCCTCTTGAGTGCTGTAATTATAGGCAAACCATACTTGGGCCTTCTTACTTTAAAAAGCATGAAGAAAATTAAATTTGGGGGATATATAGCTCAGTGGCACAGCACCTGCCTGGCAAAGGCAAGGTCCTAAGTTTGATTCCTGGTACTCTTACCCCCAGGAAAAAAAAAAAAAAGGAAAGAAAATTAAGATTGCGTTTTGAAGGTGGAAGCAGCCTTAGAAGTAGTGAAATAGGGCCTCCCCAAATTGTGAACTTCCAAGTGCTTACAAACTTGGATAGTTGAGCTCTTCCTGCTGATGTAACCTCCTCACTTTTTTTAAGAGTATGTAAACTTATTGGGAAATAGGAATAACTCCTGAGAGAAGAGGTCTGGAATGAGTTGCTCATCCCTCTTTTTTTTTTGGATAATTGTAATTGTTTCACACTTTCCCCACTATAAATTTACTTGTGTTTATATTTTTAAAGGTCACTAAAGAAGAAGGGTTGGCTCTGGCCCGAGAGTTCAGCTGTCCCTTTTTTGAGACTTCTGCTGCATACCGCTACTACATTGATGACGTTTTTCATGCACTTGTCCGAGAAATACGTAGGAAAGAGAAGGAGGCAGTGCTGGCCATGGAGAAAAAATTTAAACCTAAAAGCAGTGTCTGGAAGAGGCTGAAGTCCCCATTTCGGAAGAAGAAGGATTCAGTAACTTGAAGGGAAGGCATGGAGTGCTTACCTGTGAACTGCAGTGCTTAATCCAAGCAGTCCAGTAACCTGCAGTAGTGAGCATGGTACTTGCTCTTTCTTCTGTTAATGACCGTTTTTTAAAAAGTAACTGATGAGGGGGACATGGCTACTAGGAGTTTCCAATGATGTGGTATTTAAAGTATTGTTTCTTAATTGATTCTGATTTATTAACCAGCAGAGCACTGGCTTTTCAGTTGTCACATTAGAATTTGAATCTGCCACTCTTGGGATCATGTTGCTGATATTAATCCATGTGAATCATTTACACCAGGAGAGCGTCTAGGCCCTGGGTGTTTGACCAAGAGCACAGTGGAGTCTTGTGCTGTGTAGTCCTGTTGACGTTCGCCTTCAGTTCTCTGAGAAGGGCCTCAGTATGTTTTCTGCATGGTGCTTCCCAGAGACAAAGGGAAAACTCTATAGGGAAATCAGTGCTAAAAAGATAAATGCCAAAGCCCAGCAAATAGCTGTGGAACTGGCTCCTGCTGCAAACTTGGAGTGCTGAGAGTGGGCCATGTGCTTATAGGGACTTGCTAGAGTCCAAGCAGGATGAATCTGGTTTTTCTGAGACATGCAAATTTGCTCCAAGGCATTGGAGTGCATAAGAATGGACAGACACCTATAAAATATAGTGCTGGTTTCTTGGAAGAGCTGTTTTACTGTTTAGGGTGTACCTTTCTTTTCAAAGGTAAACATTTGGGGGCCATTACTGGATTGCTATCTCCTTTTTAAATCCCTAATCAGAAGAGCCAGCATCTATAACAGGTTTATCTATAACAGATAGATACATCAGTACAGAAATTGCTTCCCAGTGCTTGCCCTTGCTTACTCCTTGCTTTTTAGACACTTTAGGCCTGGCAAAGTTGTTTTTAGGCCCTTCATTTGTCTGGCTGCATTTTCCATACAGAAGAAATGTCAGGAGTTTGAATATATTACATGTGTGTCTCCTTGACATTAGAGTTATTCGACTCCGTATTCTAAGAAAGCATGTGGCCAGGTGTAGTGGTACACACCTATGAATCTTAACACTTGGGAAGCCGAGCAAGAGAATGGCTTGCCTGAACTACATAGTGAGACGATGCCTCAAAAAACCAAAAAAGAAAAGAAAGCCCATGGTTTTCCTGTTTATTGGGAGTCTTCTTCATGCTTTTAACATTAATGTATAGTTTGTAACCTGAAGATTTACTTAGAAAGACCTTACAAAGTTTACCTCAGGGTTTTATTAATCTTGGCAAAGTTTAGACTAAGAGAAAAACCACTTGACTGTGTACATGTTGAGAAACTATATCCTACGAAGACACAGCTTTAACTTAGTGGCAACTGTTCTGTGTGTGGACACTGCATGCATAAGGGGCAAGAGCAGCACACCTAGTGCTGAGAATTAATATCACCGAAGCAGTGTTTGTCTATTTAGGCAACTTTCTTTGCACCCCTGGAAAAGCACGTGGCTGAACTTATTTCCCATTGCTATTAAAGGCAGGAAGATAAGGTGTTTTTCTATATAAGTCAATGGTCTGTGGTCCAGATTTAAAGAAGAATGACTGATGGAGCATTTTTTTTTTAACTCTGAGTAGTTGTCCCTTTTCAAACTCCTGAAACACTTTGCTACCAGATCAGTCCTGTTTCTGGTACTCATCCCATCTAAATGTGAAAGACCACACGTCAAGTCTTTGTAGGGTATCACAGAAACCATGGGAGAAGCCAGAGAGCAGAAAAGAAATGGTGCAGTTCTATTATGATATTATATCTCATTTAAACTGGTTTAGAACCCTTTAAGTTTGACCCCTTAGCTTCTCATTACTAATGACCCAGGGAATTGTCAGAGCACCAAGCAAGAAAATGTCAGCTGTAGCCTGGCATGGTGGTGCACGCCTATAATCTCAGCACTTGGGAGGCTGAGGCAGAAAGATCTTTGTGAGTTCAAGACCTGCCTGGGCTGCAAAATGAGTTCAAGGCCAGCCTGAACTGCATAGTGAGACCCTGTCTCCTAAAGACAACAACAACAAAAAAGAAAGTATCAGCTATGTAATTATTAAAGATAATTAAGATAACAACATTTCCAGCAAGAAAGATCTGTAAGTGAATGTGTACTGCATATAAAAAAATAAAATAAGTTAGGGTTTTTTGACATTATCACTGTCACCCCTGAGCTTTGGATGAACTCTAATCCTTTGGTTAGTGCTGAATAGAATTGTGCTAGGTGGTTAGCACTAGCTGGTTTCAGGATATAACTCATACCTTTATTCTTAGTGACCACAGATAGAGTGTAGGTAATTTATGAGCTCTAAGTAATCTGCTTTAACCAGTTTGAGACCATTAAAATTAATTACTGCCTGGAACTTCAAAGAGAGAAATTCAGGGATGAGTTAAAAGGCACTGGAACTTCCATTCATGTTCATACCAGATCAGTAAGCTAAGACTCCAAGGCTCAAGCTGCATGTCAGGGCACACACCTGTAATCCCTACATTCAGGAAGCCCAAAGTAGGATAATCAGGAGTTCAAGGCCAGCCTCGATTAAAAACCAAAATGAAACATTGAAAAGCTAGTGTCTAGAATTAGCTGTTCAGGATCCACAAGGGGACTGGTGATATATTCCAAAAATGGGCCTACTGTGATGTTTGGATAGAGGGAAGGTTTTTCACCTTAATGCACATGTATATGAAGACAGTTTGTATGACACAATACAAAATTTTTAAACAATTTTGTTGGGATTTTGTTTTGCTTGTAAGTGGGTAGAAACTTGGAATCATTACAAAAAGATGATTTTTAAGAAAATATATATAAAATTGTGGGTGTAGTATATATTGCCTAGTGTACTTGAGTCCCTAGGTTCAATCCCCAGCACTTAAAAAAGGACAAAATACCATGAGATTTTATATTATGGAAAGCAATAGTTGAAAAAATTTGAACTGAATATGCCTGCTGTCTGATCTTCTGGGGAGGCTGAGATAGGAGAGTCACAAGGTAGAGGCCAACTTAGGCAACTTAGCAAGACCTTATTTGAAGAAATACAAAGGGTAGGGTACCCCCTGGGTTTGATCCCCAGCTCAAAAAAATGTTTTGTTTTGTGTGGTACTGGGGATCAAACTCATGACCAGACAGGCATTTGTGCCACTGTGCTGTAACCCTAGCCCCAAGAAAATGTTTTTGAGCATTCACCAAGTATAAATGCTGTTTGTCAAGTGTTAGCATGCTACAAAAGGACCTTGGATTGCAGAGATGACTTCTTCGTGAGGTGACAGGGAAACAAATACAGAGTGATAACATAGTCCATACAGACCAGAGCTGTGTAGAGTCACCTCAGTGATATATAAGAGGAGAATTGCTTGTGTCAAAGTCATTGCTTTTGTTTTTTCTACTTTAAGTGGGTACCAGTATTGGTAGAGAAGACCTAGTTGACACATTAAAAGAATGTATTTGTTTCCTCGTTTAGCACTTTTTAATACTTTCTTTGGTGGTACTGGGGACTAAACTCAAAGTAGGATAAAGTAGGAAAATGGATCCAGAAATAAAAGGTTAGGCAGAGGACGCAAAGGGGATGATCCTACTTTGTACTCTGCTATATTCTCAGTTCTTTTTTATTTTGGCTAAATTGCCCAGGCTGGGTTTGAATTGATCTTCTGATTTGTTTCGTTTGTTTGAGGCAGGGTCTGATGACATACGCTCGTAATCCTAGCACTCATGATGCTGAGGCAGAAGGGTCAACCATGAGTTCAAGGCCAGCCTGATCTGCATAATGAGTTCAAGGCCATCCTGGACTACATAAGTCAGACCTGTCTCAAGAAACTGAAAAGATAAAGTGAGGATCTCACTGTGTAGTCCAGGGTAGCCTTGAACTCACTGTGAATTGCAAGCTAGCCTCAAACTCCTGGTGGCCCTCCTGCCTCAGCCTCTCAAGCACTGGGACTGTCACATCCAGGCAAGGTTTGAACTTGTCATCTACTGACTCAGCCTTCCTGAATGCTAGGATTCCACATGTGTGCTACCATGTCCAGTTTTTTTTTTTTTAAACTTTTTTTTCCCCCAGCTTAACATTTTTTGAAGGGTCAATAAATACCAATGGGTTTTTTTTTTTTTTTTCCCCTCCAGTTCTCCTTTTAATTACCAATGTTGACCACAACTGAAATGAGGATAATGGAGGAATGACATTTTATTTTCTAGTGTAACTTCCCTTAGGTAATGGAATTACACCCTAGAGTGCTAAGCATTGTTTTAAAGCTGTGAGGAATTCAAGGAATTAAAATATTCTTGCTCCAGAGTATAGATAAAATTTGTGTATTCAGGGGCTAGGGATTTAGCTCAGCAGCATAAGCACCTGCCTTGCAAGCAGGCAGTCGTGAGTTCGATCCCCGGTATCGATAAAAAGGAAAAAGACCAAAAAAAAAAAAAAAAATTTGTGTGTTCAGCTGGGGATGTAACTCAGTAGTACAAGAGTGTTTGTCAGTCATGTTAGAAGCTTTGGGATCAGGTCCCAGGATAGTAATAAATACATAAATAAACTGGGCATTGTGGTGCACACCAATAACCTCAACTATTCAAGAAGCTGAGGCAGGACAATGTCAAGTTGAAAGCCAATCTGGACAACTTTGTGAAGCTATCTTAGAATTGAAAAGGTGGAGAAGCAGGCATGTGGAGTAAAAGTACTTGACTAGTATGTGACAGTACCACAAAAAAAAAAAAAAAAAAAAAAAAAAAGAGTCCTGAGCCGTCCTATGCTGACAGTGGCAGAGTTGGACAAAGCACCTGCCAGTGGGCTGGGAGTTTAGCTCAGCAGCACAGGTACTTGCCTAGCAAGTGTGGGGTCATAAACCCAATCCCTGGTGCCAAAAAACAAACAAAACAACAAAAAAACACTTGCCAAGCTCTCTGGGGACCTGGTAAAGCAGGCAAGGTTCACAGTTCACTCTACATGCACATCAGTCTGTGGGCCCCAGTTTGGGTTCTGGCCAGTCACTTACTTTTGCACTAGAAAATCCCTCTAGCTGTGTGGACAGCTTCACCTGCACTGCCCCACCTTTGGCTTGTCCAGGTTGTACAGAAAGGAGAACTGGATAGCTTCCCACAAGAGAGTGACAACAACAAAAGACTTGGCTGAAGAACCTCAGGAGAGAGTTGCCAATTAGGCTATTAATAAGTCTGTCCTTGTTAAAAAGTAATGAGTTACAGGCAAGGGATTTAGCTCATCAGCTCACTTACCTGGTAAGTGAGAGGTTGTGAGTTCAATTCCTGGTACCAAAAAACTAAATAACAGCAACCAAAAGAGTAATGAGTCACTTGTTCAGAGGGAGATTTGTTTATTTGGAATTCAGAAATTCCAGGTCACTTACGTTCATTATTCTATAAATATGAATTCTCAAATAAATTGTGCACGTATAAAACAGCTAGAGAGCAATTCCCACTCCACTCACAATAGTAGTAGTGCCAGAGATCAAGCCAGGACGCTGGCATGCTGCGTAAGGTTCTACCGTGAGCTGCCCTCCGACCAGAAGATCAGCCCTAACGTAGGATATGTGCTTCAACCCTGGAATATTGCAGGAATCCAGAAGAGGGAGTTAGCGTGATCCAAGTCAGGTAAGAGGAAACTGACTTTGGAAGACTAAATGGAGGAAATTAAACTTAACCTGAATTTTTTTCTAGTATAAATTTAGTAAACAACTAATTAACTAAATAAATAATTTGTAGTGCTATGATAATTGATAAATAATTTGTAGTGCTATGACTTTTTCAAATTCAACCTCTTTTTGTTTTTATTGTTTGAGACCAGTGTAGCCCAAGATGGTGTGGAATTCTATTTCCTACTTCTGCCTTTGAAATGCTAGGATCACAGACATGCGTGTCCGGCCCAAACTCATTTTTTTTCCTTTGATACAGAGTCTCCCTGTGTAGTTTAGGTTGGCCTTCGACTCACGGTGATCCACCTAACTCAGCCTTCCAAGTGCTGGGATTATAGGTATGCAGCACCATGCCTGGCTCAAACTCAGTCCTTTATTTAAAAAGTATATCAAAAGATGGTTTATTTGAAGAGAAAAGGCAGGAAAAAAAGACAGCTACCATAAAGCTATAGGTGGCTTCAAAGCAGAAAGCACCCCAAAGTCAATCTTGAGAAGGGTGAAATATATAAAATTTTGCAATCTTATTTTTAGGTTCCTTGTTCATTTTTTTGTTTTGCTCTTGTGAAAGACACCCCCCCCCCTTTTTTTAGAATATGTTTGCAGTACATGATGTTTATATTCCTTGTGTAGAGTTGATATATGCACATAACACATTTTAGTTCTTTCTTTCTCATCCCCTTTGCGTCCTCTGCCTAACCTTTTATTTCTGGATCCATTTTCCTACTTTATATTAGATCTGTCTTCCTACTTCCTATTATCTTTATTTTTTTTCCTATTACCTATTTCTTATTTTTCTCTTTATTTATAATTTGGGTTCTTCCTACAAGAGAAATCATGTGATATTTAAGCTTGTAATTCTGATTCATTTCACTTAAAGGGATGGTCTCAAGGTGTATCCATTTTCCTGCAAATGACGCAAGTTTATCTTTCTTTATGGCGGAGTAGCACTGTGTGGTGTGTAAATACCTCATTTTTGTTGCCCGTTCATCTATTGATGAATAGACAGCTTCCAAGATTTAGTTATTATGAATTGTGCTTCTATGAACATAGGCATGCATGGGTCAATGTGGTATGATGTCTTTGGGGATGATACCTAGGAAGGAAATAGTTGGGTCAAGTGGAATTTCTGGTTTTTGTTTATTGAGGAAATTTCTGTATTGATTTCTGTAGTGGCTGTACTCGTTTAAACTCTTACTGAAAATAGAAATGGATTCCTTTGCCCCCACAACCTCTCCTTCATTTGTTACTGATTTTCTAATGATAACTATTCTTTCTGGAGTAAGATGCAATCTCACTGTTGTTTTAATTAGCATTTCTCAAATGGCCAACAATGTTGAACATTTTTTCTTGTATTTATTGGCCACTTGCACTTCTTGTAAGAAGTGTGTATTTATTTTGCTTGCCTACCTTTTTTTAATTTTTTTTTTTTCTTTTTATCGGTACCAGGGATTGAACTCATGACCACGTGCTTGCAAGGCAGACGCTTGTGCTGCTGAGCTAAATCCCCAGCCCCTGCTTGCCTATTTTTTAATTGGGTCTTTTATTTGAGGGGTCTTGTTTTTTTTTTTTTTTTTTTTTTGAGTTCTTTGTATATTGTAAATATTATTGTTTTGTCTAAAGAGGAGCCAACAAAAATTATTTCCCATTCTTTGGGAAACAGAAAATTGTCTCTTTACTCTGTTGTTTGTTTCCTTTGCTGTGTAGAAGCTTTTTAATTTGGTGTGATCTTAAATTTGTTGATTCTTGGTACTATTTTTCTTGTGCCATTGGAGTTCTGCTCAGAAATTCCTTGCCTAAACCTATGTTTTCAAGACTTTTACCTATTGTATCTTTTACCAGATTGTTTTTGTTTTAAAATTTAGAACTTTGATGCATTTTGATTTTAGTTTAGTACATGGATCCTGGTTCAATCTTCTGTGTGTAGGTAGCCAATTTTCCCAGCATCACTTGTTAAAGAGATGATCGCTCTTCCAGTGTGTTTTTAGCCCCTTTGTTTAAGATTAAATAGCTGAATGTTTTTGGTCTTTTTGAGACAGGGTCTCGCTATGTTATGCAGTATGTAGTTTTAGGCTGGCCTCGGGCTCACTT